AATTATGAATAAAAAGATGTAAACTATGAAAACATATACATAAAATGTGGAGGCGGGAGTGAGAATGTTCTTTGAGCATAGGTTCAAATTTAAGTGACTATCAACTTACTAGAGACTGCTATATGCTTAGGATGTTTATATATGAACCTTGTGGTAACCACATACCCAAAATCCATAATAGATACATAAAAAATAGAAAGCTAAGCATTAACACTATAGAAAGCATCAATCACAAGTAAAGAGAGAAAGGGAGGCAGGAAGGAACATAAAAACTATAAAATAACCCAAAATTAATAAAATGGCAAAAAGTACATACCTATCAGTTAACTACTTTAATGTAAATGGTCTAAATGCTCCAATCAAAAGACACAGGACAGCCAAATGGATAAAAAACAAGACCCATCTGTATGGTGTCTACATGAGACTTGCGTCAGATCTAAAGACACCTACAGCCTGAAAGTGAAAAGATGAAAAAAATTCCATGTGAATGGAGATGGGGGGAAAAAAAAAAGCTAGGGTAGCAACTTATCAGACAAAATGAAACAAAGAAGGGCATTACATAATGATAAAGGGGTCACTCCAACAAGAAGATTTAGTAGTTTTAAATATCTATGCCCTGAACATTGAAGCACCTGGATGCATAAAGCAAATATTAACAGACATAAAGAAACCGCACTATGATTGGGGACATTAACACTCCACTTACTTCAATGGATAGATTATCCAGGCAGAAAATCAATAAGGAAACAATGTCTTTGAACAACCCATTAGACCTGATGGACTTCAGATACATGCAGAATATTCCATGCAAAAATATCAATACGTATTCTTTTCTAGTGCACATGGAATATTCTCCAGAATAGAGAACATGTTAGGTCACAAAACAAATCTCAAATTTAATTAGAATGAAATCCTATCCTACATCTTTTCCAACCACGTGTTATGAAACTAGAAATCAACCACAAGGGGAAAAAAAAGGAAAAAACTCAAACACATGGAGGCCAAACAATATGCTACTAAACAACCACTCAGTCAACAAATCAAAGAGGAAATAAAATAATATATGGAAACATGAAAATGAAAACACAACAGTCTAAAAATCTTTAAGATACTGAGAAAGCAGTTCTAAAGGTAAATTTATAATGATCCCGATCTACCTCAGAAAACAATAAAATCTCAAATAAATAACCTATAACCTCGCAACTAAAGGAACTAGAAAAAGAAGAAACACAGAACTCAAGGTTAGTAGAAGGAAGAAATAAGAAAGACCAGAACAGAAATAAATGAAATAGAGACAAAAAAGAAAAAGCACTGCAAAAGATCAATGAAACCAAGGGCTGGTTCTTTGATAAAAAACAACAGACAAAGTTCATAAACCTTTAGCTGGATCATTAAGAAATAAAAACCAAAATTAGAAACAAAATAGAAGTAACAATTGAAACCAAAGAAATTTCACAAAGCGTTAGTAGAAACTACTACTATAAAAAATTATATGCCAAAAAAATGAACAAAGTAGAAGAAGTGTATAAATTCCTAGAACATCAAAATCTTCTGAAACTAAATCAGGATGAAATAGAAACTCGAACAGACCAATTACTAGTAATGAAATTGAATTGGTAATCAAGTCACAACAGTAGTTCAGAAATAAATTAAAAAATGAAGATTCATAGGTGAATTCTACCAAATATTTAAAGAAGAGTTAATAATACCTATTCTCCTCAAACTATTAAAAAAATAGAAGCTTCCAAATATCTTCTGCAAGGCCAGCATTACCTTGATGGCAAAACCCTGAAGGCAAAGACACCACCCACAAAAATATTACAGGCCAATATCCTTGAGGAACATCAATGCAAAAGTCCTTAAAATATCATTAAACCACATTCAAAAATACATTAGTAGGATCATTCACCATGATCAAGTGGAATTTACCCTAGAGATGTTTCAATATTTACAAATCAACATGAATATATCACATCAACAGAACAGGATAAAAATATTATCTCAATAGATTCAGAAAAAGCATTGGATAAGATTCAACATCTGTCTGCTAATGATAAAAACACTCAACTAATTGGGGTTACTGGAAACACACCCCAATGTAATAAAGGCCATATATAAAAAATACACAGCTAACGTCATACTCAATGGGACAAACTGCACTTTCCCCCTAAAATTAGCAGGAAGACAAGGATGTCCACTCTTACCACTTTTATTCAACACAGTACTGAAAGTCTTAGTGACAGCAGTCAGAGAAAAAAAAGAAAAGGCATCCAAACTGGTAAGGAAGAAGTAAAGCCGTCACTATTTGCAGATGGCATGATACCATATACAGAAAACCCGAGACTCCACTAAAACCTGCTAGAATAAATGCATTCAGTAAAACTGCAAGATACAAAATTAATACACAGAAATCAGTTGCATTTCTATACACTAATGATGAAGTGGCAGAGATATAAATTCTCATTTAAACTGCACCAGAAAGAACACAGTACCTAGGAATAAACTTCACCAAGGAAGTGAAAGACCTGTACTTTGAAAACTGTAAGACACTGGTGAAAGAAACTGAAGATGACACAAGCAAATGGAAAAATATTTCATGTTCATGGATTAGTAGAATTAAAATGTCATACTACCGAAAGCAGTCTACAGATTCATGAAGTCTCTATCAAAATACCAACAGCATTTTTCATAGAACTAGAACAAATGGTACTAACATTTGTATGGAGCCGCAAAAGATCCCAAATAGCCAAAGCAAATCTTGAAAAAGAAAAACCTAACTGGTGGTATCATAATCCTAGATTTCAAGATACACTACAAAATTGCAGTAATCAAAACATTATGGTACTGGCACAAAAACAGACACAAAGGTCAGTGGAACAGAACTGAGAGCCCAAAAATAAACTCATGATTATACGGTCAATTAATTTACAACAAAGGAAAGAATAGACAATGTGAAGAAAGACTGTCTCTTTAACAAATGGTGCTGGGAAAGCTGGACAGCTACTTGCAAAAGAATGAAACTGAACCACTTTCTTACCCCATAGACAAAAACAAACGCAACATGGATTAAATATGAGTCCTGAAACCTTAAAACTCCTAGAAGAAAATATAGACAGAAATTTCTTGGACATCGACCTTAGCAACATTTTTCTATCTTAGATAGGTCTTCTCAAATAAATGATTGGGACTACACCAAAATAAAAAGCTTTTTCACAGTGAAGGAAAGCATGAAAAAACTAAAAAGTAACCTACTGAGTGAGGGAAGACATATGCAAATGATATATCTGATTAGGGGTTAACATTCCAACTATATAAAGAATTTCTCAAACTCAACACTTCTCCCCCAAAATAATAAAAAAAAAAAATGGGCAGAGGACCTGAATACATTTTTCCAAAGAACATATGCAGATGACCAACAGACACATGAAAAAATTTTCAACATCACTACCAGGGAAATGCCAATCAAACCACAATGAGATCACCTCACACCAGTCAGAATGGCTAGAACCAAAATGAGAAAAAAATATAACAAGTGTTGGCAAGAATATGCAAAAAGGAACCCTCAAGCACTGTTGGGGGGAATATAAATTGGTGCAGACGTTGTGGAAAACAGGCTGGAGTTTCTTCAAAGAATTAAAAATAGAAATATCGTATGATCTAGTAATTCCACTACTAGTGTTTGCCCAAAGAAAACAAAAACACTAATTTGAAAAGATAATATGCACCCTATGTTTTTTGCAGCAGCATTATTTATGATAGTCCAGATATGGAAGGAGCCCAAGTGTCCACTGATAGATGAATGGATAAAGATGATGTGTGTGTGTGTATATGTGCATATATGTGTACATATATGTGTGTGTGGTAACAGACCCATAGAGAACAAACTGATGGGTACCACAGCGGAGGGGTATGGGGGGGATGGGCAAGATCAGTAAAAGTGAACTGGAGATATAGTCTTCCAGTTATGGAATGAGTAAGTCATGAGGATAACAGGTATGATACAGGGAATATAGTCAATGATATAGTAATGGCAGTGAATGGTAAGAGATGGTAGCTACACTTGTGAGCAAGTGTATGGTATAGATTTATCAACTCCCTATGTTGCACACCTGAAACTACTGTAACATTGTGTCGACTATACGTCAATAAAGAAAAATGTGTATTCAGCATAACCCAAATGTCAGCTACTCCCCCTTCCTTCTATCCATCCACTCCTCTACTCAGCCATCCACCTATCCAAGAACCATGTGCCACCTGTGGGGATACAGCAGTGAAGCAAACAATACTCGTATCTTCAAAGCGTTAATATTGTAGCAAGGAAGATGGACAAATAATAAATCAAGCAAACAAATGAATGGAATTTCAGGCAGTGACAGGTGCTATGCAGAAAAATAAAGCACAAGAGGAGTGCAGAAAGGGACTGCATACTGTATGGGGGACTATATTAGACATGGTGGTAGGGGAAGGCCTCTCAAAGAAGCAAACCAGTGGCCTCTCGTTATTATCGGTTAGGAGTGTGACTGGTATTTACTGAAACGGCACATCCTTCTCTCATTCCACTCAACAGCTCACAGGGGAGCAGTGCAGCATTGCCTTTAAATAAGGTTGGAAAATTAATAGTTTGGTGCTAATATTAATTCTAAGGAGAATTCTCCCTTTAATAGAGAAATAAGAGAATGCAGCAAGTTGATGTACGAAGAGGTTTCTCCCATTTCTCATCCTGGTGCGGCAGAACAAAAGTTAGAGGAGGAACAGACTCTCAATCAGAATATGCTTTACTGAGTGAACAAGGAAAATATGAAGGCTTCATTGTTTTTCTTCTTTGTGAGGCAGTTTCTTGGGAATCTGCTTATAAGTTTTATAAGCACATTGCAAAGTGACAAAAATACTTTAGGCTGGCGGTGCTAAAAAGATTCTGTAATGAATAAAAAGGTGCTCCGAAAAGTGACAAGCTCTATATAAACACAAGGAAGCAGTATTACTATTATTAGCTAACTCACCTGAAGATGAAGGAAGCGGATCATAGTCCTGTGATGCTCTGTTGGCTTTGACGTTTTCGCCTGGCAATCTCCTAGCAGGAGGCAAAGGAACTTGGCCACTTGCTGGATCAAAAAAGGGATCTTAAAAGTAAAGATAATTTTCAAATTAAAATGATTATCTCTACCAAGTGGCTGAAGGAAAAAATCCTAGAAATTCTCTATAAAGATCAAAGGTTTTGGACATAAATTAGAAAATAATTTCATGACTGATATTAACCATTTTATAATCACTTGCCTATTTCTAATTTATTCATCACTTGCTCAAAAATGCTCTTCCTATTTATTCCTCGATAATACGAAGTACTAATTTTATATTTAAAATTTTCAGATCTTAATAATAAAATTCTTGGGGATAAAACCTGCTTCAAATTGTTATTTTCTGTCCCTTTCTGTCCTATACATGAACAGACGCTGTTGTAAAAAATGTCTTTTTGAGTTTTGCCTATAAGTGTCATTATCAAATCAGTTAATCTTTAAAATGGACCTGACATTTGGGATTTGTGAGGATTAAATGAATTCATGTATATAAATCTCCTGTATATATAAAGTGTCTTTTGAAACACTACTATATTGGGCATCCTATGCTAAAAGTCTTTATTTTTGAGAGAGAGAGAGAAGGGAAGGGGGACAGAGGATCTGAAGCCAGACTCTGTGCTGTCAGCACAGTTCAGGGCTTGAACTCACCAATCGTGAGATCATGACCCGAGCGTAACCAGCTGAGCCACCCAGGCACCCCAGAAGTCATTTTTAACTGGCTCACTAAATAGTAAATTCAATCGATAAAAATTTATTGCTATTATTAACATTAAGGTTTGCATATACACTAAAAAGTGACATTTTCAACCACCTTGGCAGTCAGAGAGGGGCATCTGAAAAAGTGCAAATTATGAATTGCACACAAATTAAAAATTATTTTCTACTTCTAATGATGCTTATTAACTGGAACCGAAGGCAGAAAAATATTTGTCAGTGGTACTATATTAAATTGTTAGGATCATAAATCTAACTGATTTAAAATTAGTAGTATATGGATCAGAATCCATAGAACTGGCTTCAGTTCTGAGTAGGTCCACATTACCTCTGCTATTTCTGATTCACTGATAATGTACTTAGCCTGATAATGTACTTCGTACTGATAATGTACTTCACTTCTATCGCTGGATCCTCTGTTTTTGTCTCTCATAGATTACTTTCTTTTATGTTTGCCAGTATTTCCAGAGGTGCTCTAAGTTCTTTTGAGGGTAAGGTTCTTGGGTCACTCATCGTGTTTGAATTATATCCTCTAACGCACAGTACCAAGCACGCTGCTTGGCAAATAGCCTAAACTTCAAAAGTATTTGCTTTTTTTTTTTTTTTTTTAAATATTTTTATTTATTTCTAGGAGTGAGAGAGAGACAGCATGAGCAGGGGAGGGTCAGAGAGAGAGGGAGACACAGACTATGAAACAGGCTCCAGGCTCTGAGCTGGCAGTCAGCACAGAGCCTGACGCAGGGCTCGAACCCACGAACCGCGAGATCATGACCTAAGCGAAAGTCAGACGCTTAACCGACTAAGCCACCCAGGCGCCCCAAAAGTATTTGCTTTTAACTACCAGAAACAAACCCAAGTTGACTAATATTTTTCATAAATTCAAAATTGGTGAAAACTGAAATGCTACCAAAAGGCAAAAATTGTAGATATTAAGGATCTGATTATATTTTATTGTTTGAACATCCCTTTAAGTTTGTCATTAAGAATACATAAGGATTTGATTATTTATAAGAAGAAAATGAACACGTATTTATACTGATTTTTGACTAGATAATGTAAGGCAAGAGTTGACATCTTTGATTATTATTTTCCTCTTTTGAGTACAGTAATTATAACTAGCTTTGCTGGAGACTTTTTGACCTAAATAAGGCAACTAAACTTGCTTTCATTAAATTCAAGATTAAAATTAGCGTTAGATTTTGCACTTTCAATATCTGAAGAGTCAATGGTTCAGCCTCATTAATTTTGCTGAAATATTTTAGGAAACAATGAGAAGGTAAATCAAATGCCATGCAACAAATGTTAATATTTTGATTTGGAAGAGTAACCAATGGAACCAAGTATGGTGATTTCTGCATAAGTTTAGAAATTTCTGCAGGATTTAGATCGAAATATTCAATAAAATTTACTTTCAGTTACTGTGCATTTTAAACATCACAGATATAACGATAGGTCAGAGAAAAGACTGCATTTTACAATACACATACTTTTTGAAAATTTCTTTAGGGTAATTTATAGGTTTGTCAGATATGCTGTTACTAATCATGCATTTAAGACTAAACATTAGATTCTGGATATACTACAGGGTCATAAATAGACTATAAAATACAGCTGTATGATACTGCTCCATTAAATGATTTCACTTAAAAAGCCACTAGATGTATTAAAAATATTCTCATAAATAGCAAAAATACTTAGTTCAATTCTGAATCACTACCATATGTCTTCCTTCATGCTAACTTTGCTACTGGGCAGGTACAGGGCACACTGGGCTTCTACCGTAAGTTGTAAAGTTGAAAGTATTCATGCTTCAATGGGAAAAGACAGACAACACAATTACTATGCAGAGTGCGATAATCAACTGTCTCCTGATAAAAAGAAAATTTGAAAAGCAATAAGGTTCTTAAAAATAAATTCTTCAAAAACTAATTAAAGTAAAATTTTATATCCACGCTTAGAATTAAAAATGTACAAATTGAAAATACCATAGCCGATGTACCATTTTTATTGTGATAAAAGTTTGAGAAATGAGTGAATAAACATGATGGGAATTAATCTATTCCAAGCAGCAGGGTGCTATTGCCTGTGATTTACAGTATGGTAATGCTAAATTGAAAATTTAATACTTCATTTAAAGATTATAAAAATCTAAGGAAAGACAGGGAGGAAAGGTTTGCTCACTATAAAGAAAGTGGGAAAATCTACATCAACCAAAATTATGCTGTGTAAGAAGGAAACCTATCAAATGATTATCGAGGAAGAAGCACTATGGATGGAATGCTTTTCTTAATTCTTTTTTTCATTATCTGAAATGCTTCCAAATTTTTACTCAAGTGTAGAACAAGAGGCAAATAAAATTAGACAGTTGAAATAGTGGCATATTTCCTCCGGGGCTGTCCAAAGGCCATCTGCAAGTTTTATCAGTTATCCTCCAAATTTTAAAAGAACATCAATACAGGATCTAATAGATAGGAGGGTTTGAAGAGCTGTAGGTGAAATAAAATTCCTCCTTCTCTGTGGCCCTCAGTCTTTAACTCATATGCATAAAATCCACACTATGTAGTGATCTGGTCACTGATTAAATCCTCCAGTATTAGAGAACTCACTACTCCTCTGAGATATAATAGTTCTGTAGAGAAGTTTTAAGAATTCTTTAAGAATTTAGGAAATTATGATGAAATGTCATTCTTAATTATTCTCTGGTCTGCCTTGGGAGGAGACACTGGGGATATCTGACCCTTCTTTCCCAAATATTGTAACTAGATACAACTATAGATCTCTATATATAGATCTATATCTATATCTATATCATCTATATCTATATATCTAAGGTCATCTCTTTAAATGTTGCAGCTCCTTTAACCTGCTATAGTTTTTTGCGATCAGGTGTAAATTTCCTTCAGCATCCTGGCTGCCTTCCCCTAGGAAGACCCCAGCTCAGATTTTCTCAAACTTGAGCATTCCTCACAGTCCCCCAGAAGGCATGTGGAAACACAGACGCTGGGCCCAACCACCAGAGTTTGTGATTTAGTTAGTCTTCCGTGAAGTCTAAGAATTTTAATTTTAAACAAGTCCCCCTGCCCTGTGGGATGCCTAGGTGGCTCAGTGGGTTAAGCTTGCACTTCATTCAGCTCAGGTCAAGATCTCACGGTTCAGGATTTCAGTTTGAGCCTGTGTGGGCTCTGTGCTGACAGCTGAGAGCCTGGAGCCTGCTTTGGATTGTGTCTCCTTAGCTCTCTGCACCTCTTCCACTTGTGACATTTCTCTCTCTCTCAAAAATGAACAAACATTAAAAAAAAATTTTTTTTTAAACAAGTTTCCTGGTGACACTGATGGTGTTGATCTGAAAACTACAGTTTGAGAGCCAATCACTGCTGTAGCCCATCTGTCCTTGAACCGTCACCACAGTGGTCCCATGCCAGCCGAGCACTGGAGAGAACCTCACCTCCTCCCTCCGATCCGAACTCTGTGGGTGCAACCCTCAAATAGCCACATCATGACAGAAAGTGTTTCATAAAGATCACAGTTAACAAGACCACCCAAGTCCCCTTCAATAACTCTTGCTAATGATCCAAATATTCTATTTTACGTATGAAATTGCATTTCTGGATCCAAATGGAAAACTTTCATTTGACTGTAATAAAGTCAAATTTGCTGGCTTTTAGAGCTGAATTGTGACTTTAAGACTGGATAAGGACTTCAAAAGAAACCCAGGTGAGAAAAATAGTGAAAGGAAGGTTTCACAAGGGCTGCCACATATGTTGTGTATTTTGTGCACTGCACAAAGACATGCAGTTACGGGAATAAGCAGAGTTCAGCACAGCCTGGGTTTTGTTCCTGAAGCACCGGCCCTGGCACAAAATGGAAGGAGGGGTGCTTCTTTCAACCCACCAGCACAAAAGAAGTGCCTCTTGGTGAATGGAACAAAAGCACGTATATGCTAACAAAGTGTAAGGCTGTTTTTGAGGATTCTTGAGGTTTTGTGAAGATAGGATTATAGCCCGTCCAGAAAGGATGCCCATGCACAGCAGTGGGCATTACTACTTGCTGAAAGAAATCTTGCATGAAGGCTGCAGACAGAAGACAGATAAAAGAAGCATCCGAGACGTGCTCCTGCTTTGCTTCCCCCTAGCTTCCTGCAGGAATCCTAAGGCTCCTTTGCAGAAAGGAGGACCTTGCAGTTTGAAAACTGTTATCACAGAGAGGGCAGTGAGCTTATAAGGCTGGAAGGGTGAACCTGACTCCAGTGTGCAGGGCACTGAAGGCCAGGAATAGAGACGGAGGTTTGATTAGGTATTTAATATATCATGAGGAAATCCAACCTTTTTTTTTTTTTTTTTTAAGACATCTATCTTTTGGCTTTAATTAGGGACAATGATTTCATCAAGGAAACCAAATCTCAATCACGCCAGTAAAGGTTACACTGGACTAAAATTTTGAAGACTGAACAATAGTGAAGACAATAGCAGTACAATGCTCATACAGTCATTTAACATAACAATCACCTCTGTTTACCATTTATGGTTCTAGAACTACTGAGTCAAACTTTCATTTATCATTGATAGAGTATTCTTTAACGAAATTCAATGAAAGAAGAGTCAAGAAAGGTCAAAAGTCTTACACTTTAGGCATATATTGTGTTAAATAATTTGTAAAATGATACTCAAATACTTATTTATGAGTGAAAAGAAACCTACACGCTCTATTATAATGGTATGTAAGAAGTTTTGAGGTATTTCTTTTGAAAAAGAGGAGAGCTAACATACATGGTTTAAGGAGATTAAGAGAGTATAAACTTCCAGGTATAAAATAAATCACAAATTAAAAGTACAGCACAGGGAAAACAGTAAAACTGTAATGACACTGCATGCTGACAGAGGGGGACTACTCTTATCGTGGGGAGCACTGAGCAGTGTACAGAATCACTGAATCGATATGTTGTACCTAAAACTAATAAAACATTGTATGTTAACTATGCTTCAATAAAAAATAAATAAAATTGAATAAAAACAGTTGTCTCAATGGATCTCATAAAGTATCTGGGAACAGACTAGAAATTTGTCATGTTAATGATATGAAAGGCTGAAAGAGGAAAAACATACCATTCTTTTCTTAGAAGTACTTATTATCAAGGGATGCCAACATTATCGAGAGTGGAATTAGAATACCTCTAGGTATAAAAGAAGGTCAAGAATGACAGTCTCAGGTTCAAATGACACTGCCCTGGCCCCATGCTGGCCTCACACCACAGGTTGAGGAGGACTCCTGCTGAGATGCCTGGCAGCCAAGCAAAATCAGAAACAAGCAGAACTCTTTATGAAATAAAACCGCTAATACAACTTTTGCTTTATTGACTAACGGGCATTTTCATTTTGTAATTTTTTAGTAATATTGAAAGCATTTTTATGAAGTACCTTACATAAGACACTGTGAAAAGTTAAAATATGGTAAAGAACTCAATCATTTTACAACTAACTCTTTTGATTAAAAACAGGTAGAAGTCTGTATTTGCGTAAAACATTCTCTTCCAACTCCTGGAAAGCCTCCCTTAATTTTAAAAGAAGGCACTACATCGGCTTTTACCTAATGGGGCTATATAATGCCATATATATATGGCAGCAGATACATTATAGGAATCTGACCAGAGACTATCCAGAAGTTAGCCTTGGAAAAAGGCTAAGATTTACAGTGATTTTTTAAGTTCAAGTCCACATATAAAACAAAGATTTGAATCAGAGAAAAAGATAGCAAATGTTACCAGTGTTTATGATATAAGAATGAATAGGAGTCTCATAGCTATCTATGCTTTCTGCCTGGATTAGAAGGCAAATGAGTTTTCACTCTATGATTAGTAGTGTCCAGTGAATTCACACCAGGAGAGCAGGGAGGCATAACACAGTGGGTGAAAAAGTAAACTCAAAATTATTTCTTAAAGATAGACTAATTTTAGAAGCTGAGGCTACATATTCTAAGTTATAGGTGTGTAATTTGTCAGTCTCATCCATAAATTGCCTCAAACTTTCTAAGTTATCAAACTAAGTGGAAAAGAAAAACCTAGAAACAGGAGTGCTAAGTGAGTGATAATAGTTAAGATTCCCAAGTTTTCATTGAAGCTTAGAGGCAGCCAAAGCACAAATTGAGCACTTTTTAAAAACTGTTTTTAGGGGCACCTGGGTGACTCAAGTCGGTTAAGCATCCACCTTTGGCTCAGGTCATGATCTTGCTGTTCTTGAGTTCAAGCCCCACATCGGGCTCTATGCTGACAGCTCCGAGCCTGGAGCTGGTTTCAGATTCTGTGTCTCCCTCTCTTTCTGCCTCTTCCCCACTCACACTCTGTCTCTTTCTTAAAAATAAACATTAAAAAAACTTTTTAAAATTTATTTATTTATTTTGAGAGAGAGAGAGGGGAGGGGGAGAGACAAGAGAATCTCAAACAGGCTCCGTGCTGTCATGTCAGCACAGAGCCTGACATGGGGCTCAAACTCACAATGAGATCATGACCTGAGCAGAAATCAAAAGTTGGACACTTAATGAGCTGAGCCTCCCAGGCACCCCACTTATTAAGATCTTTTAATGATTTATCTAATATAGAAATTGTTAAAAAAAGAAAATTTTTACCCTACGTTTATCCAAACTGAATGGAGATAAATGTTTCCGAACATACATCAGTCTCACCAACATGACAGGCTGGAACAGTTACTATCAGCAGATTCACTGTAACTGATTATTTTTTCCTGACAGTTCTGACTAATGGAGCAGATGGTTTATTCAGTCTCTTTATTATTTCTACTCTTCATTTGAAAGGTTTAAAAAAAAAGCTATGTATTAACTTTTCCTTGAAAAACAATAATTTGAGTAGATATATTGAGACATTAAAAACAATGATGGTAACAATAAAAGGTAAATATTTCAGAAAACTTCTCTACTAATGTAATAATGTAATTTACCAAAATATTATCTTTTTGAATAAAATTATGACCCTAAGCCATAGCTAGTACAATGAAAACTTATTAGAAAGATATACTGTACTTGGGCGCCTGGGTGGCTCAGGCGGTTAAATGGCTGACTCTAGCTCAGGTCATAGTCTCGTGGTTTGTGAGTTCTGGCTGTGCTGACAGCTCAGAGCCTGGAGCCTGCTTCAGATTCTGTGTCTTCCTCTCTCTCTGCCCCTCCCCAACTCGCGCTCTGTCAGACCTGACTCTCTCAAAAATAAACAAACATTAAAAAAAATAAAAGAAAAATATACTGCACTCAGAATCGGGAGAGTCTAAATTGTGTCCACATCACTCCTAGCCCCATCACAGAGCCCTTCTGGTTCTCAGGATGCTTGTGTGACATAAGGCTGACATGTGGATTGGAGGAGCTCCCTGGCATCTATGATTCCTACTGCTTTTGTCATTTGTGGAATCCTTTGCATTAAATCAATAAATTGCAATTAAACCAATTGACAAGCAAACCTACCTAATTTCCTGTTTTCTCCACCCAGAATTTTCTGCTAGGGAGCTAGAAACCAATAAATTACTGATGCTTATTGGACAGTATGATCTCAGAAATAGTCTTGCTTTAAGTGAAAAGTTTTCTTTGGCTTTTCCCTCTTACCTGAAGGAAGAAGGAAAAGGTCTTGTCCTGAGGATGGTCGGCTGCTGGAGCCAGGAGGTTTTGAGTGTTCGATGAGGCTGTGCCTTGCAGGAGGCGGGGGAGGTGGGAGGGAAGGGGGGAGGGCATCAAAAGCCTCTTCACCTGCATTTAAAGAAAGGTCAATATTCAACAGCAAAACCTCATTAATGAAAACACAGCATCAGGCCAAAGCAATGATTGATTTTCTCTTGCTGCTCATAAAGAACTTCACCTGTAGGGTTTATCTAGCAGTTTACCAACTTTGGTAATGAAAGCTAATTATTTTCTGGGAGTGTTTGGAGAGAAACACAGGCACACAAACACACATGTACATGTGCAAACTTCTTCTATCACCCAGGCCTTTCTGTTAAAAAGCAGCACTGCAGGTTATGAAAAAGCTTATTATCTACTTGTAACCTTTATAATATTAAGACACGGGAAGTTAGGACTAAAGATTATTATAGATCACACCATCAAAAACAGGATTTTTTATGTAACAATAAGAGTTCACAGCCCCTTATTAGAAAATCACACTGTGCGCAGAAAAATTTAATGTTACAGAACAGATTATCTTTTAGAGTTTATTCTGGATTTTAATTCATCTAAACTAATGTTCTATATATTTCATTGTTAAAATACAGGAAATGTACCGACAGTATGGGCATATATTTGTCTACTTATCAGGTATTTCTAAAAAGGAACAGCTAAGTATAGAACTGTCTTCTGTGGTCCCCAAACTACTTATATTTGCATATTTCCCAGCTTTAGTAACTACAGAATATTGCAGTATGCTTTTACATCTACTTATTTTTCCCCTGACACATCTTACTATTCTATTCATATTTTCCCTTATCTGGATTCTTTAAAACAATAAAATTGCAAAGTACGTATTTTTATAAGTAATCTCAAATGCTCTGTGAATGAAACAGGATATAAACAAACACATACATGTTCCAGTAATAAAAATGCATGTATTTAAATTTATTGACTTAAGCCAGTTATATTTTAAAGAAAAGTGGTTTTACCATTCATCTAACTTGTCTTGCAAAAAATATTCAAAATATGTTCTCTAATGATCACAAACATTTGTCTAACTTAAAATATTTGATAGCTTTGTTATCATTCCAGCCTTCAGCTATTTGCTACATTCATTATCTTATTCATTTAAATCCTTTTTTTCAGCCCCTAAATGTCACATCCCATGCTAGGCATGTGGGTAACTATGAAGATCAAACTCACAGGACCTGATTCAAGGATCTTAGAGTCTACGAGGAGATCTAAGAAAAATTCAGAGGTATGATTCACAGGTGAAAGTATCATAGGTCCCACAGAGAGAGCTACACGTGAGAGGGAAGGGAAATGTAGAAAGTGGCATTCAGCAAGGTGTTACCAAGAACAGGAAGGCCTGGGATATCAGAGCTTCAAGGCCATTTATTCATCAAATGCTAGGATGGTATCTTCTTGACAGACTGAATATAATAAAATAAACAGTATAAATAAAGCATGAAATGTACATGAAGAGATAGAGGAAGGTTGAATTAAAAGGAGGGGCGGGAACACTGATCTGCACTGTCCAATGTGGCAGTCACCACCCACATATGGCTATTTAAATTAAAATTCTGTTCCATCCACAGTTGCATGTGTCAATGTATACATTCATCACTACATGGAATTCTATTAGACAATGCTTGATCTAGATCAAGACTTGGGTAGCAGGTCAAAAACCAGCATACAGGAAGAAGTGGGAGGGAGAAAGATACTGGAGGTAAAGAAGTTAGCAGGTGCTTATAGTTCATGTAGGTGAGAATGAAGCACTAAACTACAGAAAGAACAGAAGCAAAAGAGACTGCTATTACGTAACTAGAAATACTGGTTGGTGGGGTTTGTGGAAAAAAAATCAAACAAGTCATTTCACAATAAAAATCAATTCAGATAAGCTTCTAAGCAGACCTACTGTTACAGAACTAGAGACACTAGTTGATGGGATTTGTGGAAAAAAAATCAGATGAGTCATTTCACAATCATAATCAGTTCATATATGCTTATAAATGGACTTTCATCATACATTATGTTATGGTGACCTGTGAAGCCTTAAGTTGTGTGGAGATTCTAAGAGTCTTCCTCTAAAAATACGGGGAGAAGCTTCCAACTTAGAATTAGTGAAATAAACACAGATAGCAGCACCAGCCAACTTTAACGACATACACATATGTGTACTTTCACACATGTACACACACACACACACACACACACACACAAACTAATGTACTTCATATTAAAATCTGAACCAAAGAAATTGAGATTCCTTGGATGTGTAGTTGCAATAATTCTATGACAGAATCCATTTCTCAGTTCTCTACAATAAAATATGTTTCAAAATGTAATTAGCTAAGCAAGTAGACTGCATCATGTTATCCTGAAAGAAAAAGTAAGTACACATTCATTAAGAATTGTACTTAAAGAAAAAATCAGATGAACACTTCAAATCTAGTAGAACAAAAGGGCTCATAGGAAGGAATGGTGCTCTCATAGGTTTTTGTACTGCATTTAATACATGAAGAGATTGGTAATACACAGATTGATGGCCAGTTATGTACACCATTACTTCAATCATATAAGTGGAATAATGGTTACATGAATTTAAGAGCCACCACTACTCAGAGAATCCATTCTAATTCAGACATATTCATAGCCTTGTAAGTCTGTGTTACACTGAACTCTGAATTCTGATAATTCAGGTATTAACTGAAAGAAGAGGCAGGGTGGCTAATGTGAAAAAGTTTTAAAGGTTTCAACCTAATGGAGGGATGAGAAGATCATAATCAGAGGGCGTCCTGTTGAGTGAAGAACCATGCTTTGGATTGTCCCGAGTTGGAGGCCTGGCAGGTGGTAATGGCACTGGATCAGAGGCTGAATCAAAAACATCTCCTAGAGGATAACACAAAATCTTAATGTATTTTCAGTACAACAATGGCATGGAATTTTGCCTTTAAATTCTGACCATTAAGACACAGAGCACAAAGAGAATAGGTTTTATACATACCCTTTAAATATATGCCTAATTCAGGGATGTTTGATTTCTTCAACTCTGAAGATGTACCGTGTGTTCCATTCAATATACAATGACCATTATCACAGGACCTAACACAGAGATCAAAGGACAAAAATCATAAGGAAGATTACTTTCCATTTAAAAGTAATTTGGAGGGGTGACAGGAACTAGCAACCCTGATCATATGCTAAAGTTTGGAATTATATGTAATTTCCTTTTCTGGAAAAAGTAGAAGAAATATTATCCAGATATCCTTTTTTTTTCTTTTTTAGATTTCTGTTTTAAAAGACTGAGAGAGATGGTGCACACACACTGTGAGCACACAGGGAGATGGAATAGAGGGAGAGAGAGAATCTTAGGCACCACGTCCAGCGCAGAGCCTGACCCAAGGCTTGATCTCATGACTGAGATCATGACCTGAGCCAAAATCAAGAGTCAGACACTTAACCAACTGAGTCACCCAGGCACCCCTATCCAGATATTCCTACTCAACTATTTTTGCAAAGAAGTAAAATAAGTAAAAAGACAAATAATATTTAAAAATAATGAAATCAAGAAATATAAGCACCCCAAAAATTGTTGATTTCCTAAACACATCTGTGAAATTAACACATTGCTTTGGAGGAGTTCAATAATACCTTGTCAAGTTTTTGAAGAAAAAAATGTAGTAAGCCCCCCCCCCAAAACATATATAGTAGTCCCAATGACTTATTTGTTGATGCTATTTGACATATTTTTATTTCTGTAATTTAAGCTTTTCTTATAGTAAACTAGAGCTCATCAAAGAAGAATTATTAAATGTTCTGTAATTTCATTAAAATTTTGATAGGCATATTCAAATTTTGCTATAAACAAAACCCCGCCCTTCTGATAACTGTAGAAAAATGACCTTAGCAAAGGCCTTGGGTACACAACAAGTATTTTAATCTGGGTGTCTGTAAAGGATAGTACTTACTAAAACAAGATTTTTGCTGTTAGTATTAATACTTTGAAATCATATTATGAACATAAATGGACAAAACTGGGGCCTGGGAAGATAGTAAGAAAAGAAAGTACAGGTATACTTTGTCTTTAGAATACAGTTGTGTAACAATGAACTCTCTGCTCATGAACCATGTTATTCTGTTCACAAAAAGTTATAGAAAGCAGAGTTTACATTTTCCGTTTCTCTGATTTACTCTGAATTCTTGGGGCAAAGAAGAAGTACATACATAATGGAGGAGATAGAGATATTTAAATAGTTATTGCAAGAGGGCTTCATCTGAAATTCACTTCCATTCTCTCTGGTGGCCACATCTGTTGCAGGGGCCAGAGATGGTTCATTTAAAAACAGTTATCAGGTACGGAATTTTCATAATGATGATGGATTTTTATTGAAACTGAATTGAATTATTCATCTACTGTTTAACTTTTTCCACATATTGACAATTTATATTTTCTGATATTCCAAAGTGGGGGAAACATATTAGGAAAGGAAGTGTTTAAACTTAAACCTTCTTAAACTCCACAGGGCTCTGTGGAGGACAGAAGAAGGTACTTCATCCATTGGCTTTCAAGAACAAAATAAAAATTCACTCCAATTAAGTTTAGGGATAACCAACCAACATTTATTACTTCTCTGTAACAACAGGAAGATGGCAATGGTGGTCATAATTCAAATTTATTTTCAGGATTTGGGAAGTCAGCTACCAAAAATCTCATCTGATATGATGTGACAATTAAAATTTAAAGCATTTAAATTATACCTCTCACCTTTTCGGGAATGAAAAAAATGATATCCTAAGGAGACCAAAAATGCTCATCTTATTTCAGTCTTTAAAATTACTATACATTTGCAGGAGCCAAAGAGACTAAGAATTGTGACCATTTGTATTTAATGTGGAGGAATAACTTTCCTCTATTAAGAGTAGTAGACACTTGGTTCTTAAGAAATAACAAATTGCCTCTCAGTTATTTATCTTCTCAAGGATACTATTTTATCAACAAATGTCTTAAATACCAGTGATTAGCAAGAAATGCAATGGTTCTTGTTTTGAAATAAGAAGTCCTAGACTGCAGATTGTTAATAATCCTGGTTAAGAATTCTGTAGTGTTGTTAATTTTAACCAGGTTCAGTCATGTAGACAGATCTCTGGTTAAAATGAAGATTTCCTTCTCTATTCCAAGTATTGCATTTTCACCTCGATGTGATATTCTAAGAAAGGCACGAAAACATTTTGTTTAGATTTTTCATCTGGAAAGAAGGGTGCACTCCACTCATCGAATGCTTTCTGTTGATGGACTTGACCTTAAAACAGAAATGGCACATGAAGATACTAGAGATGGCTTAAGCATTCAGTGGTTTTCCTATCAGTCAAGAGGTGCTGGAAGGCAGGAAGGCTGCGCCAGCAGCCGTAGTCCAGCCCCGTACTGTATGCCAAGCATAGCTCCAGGGATGCCATCATGCAAAGAAAATGAGCTCACTAAGTTTTAAAACCGAGATCTGACTTCTTGAGCACCTCATGGAAGTGTGATGAGAAAAAAGAAAAATGGTATTAGATTACAGATTACTAAATCAGTTATACACGTGCAGAGTCATCTTACTTTAAAACAAACTACTATTTCAGGATACCCCACCCAGTTTTAATAACTGTAATATACCTCAGTTTGAAGTGGGGCTGCCACTTCAAAGCCCAAGGCTGTCTCCATTATGATGGGAACAAATAACTGGCAAGAAGAAGAAAAAAGAAAAGAAAACCCTATTCCTCACATTCTTATTTGATCTAAGGAATAAAATAGTACCTGATTAAAAAATAGTTAAGGGAAATACTTCTTAGTTTTTTTTTTTTTTTAACTTTTTCAGGGTATGATGAATAGAAGTAGGCAGGATATCAAGAAGGGAAATGAATATGAATTATACTAGTCTTTACATCATAAAAATTCTAAGAAAGGCAAAACTTTAGTTTCTGAGCACTGATTTTTCTTCATGAGGTATGTGCTTAGAACTGATAAAATACATTGGAAAATAGCATATTGAAAATTCATGAATTAACCACCACTATACATAATATACAGCAAAGTTTTATTAGATTATAATTTGTTTTGGGGGAAGAGGGGCAGCAAAATGTTCCATTAGATTTACTAGTCAATTAGTTTAGTCAAATGACTTCCTGATTAATGAGAAATCTGCATCTTTTAGTTTTCTATGAAAGGAATGCAGAAAATAGTATAGAAGAGGAGGCTTTGACCAAGAAATCCAGGATTTAAACAGCTGTGATTCAGTTGCCTAAAAACAAATACCCCACATGATAATGTTTATGTAGATGTGAGATGATAAAAAGCTGCCCGTATGCTTACCTAAGAGGAGGTTTTACATTATGGCAATGAGATGGTTGTGAATTCAGGGAAACAGGATGGGATGAAGGAACCTTGTATTCATCGTCATCTTCCTCTACTGGGTCTCTGGTTTTCTCTGAAAGGGAATTTGCTAATGGGCCAGTACACCTACCAGAGAGGGAAAAAAAATCCAGTCTAGTTTAAGCATAACAATTCAGAGCAGGCAAGTTGGATGTGATCTATTCAAATCAAAGGAGCTACTTTGTTACTGGTGTTCATTTTTCAATTACAAGGTAACATCAGAAGGGCTGTTCTTATACTAAATACAAAGGAAAGAATTTTCAATCTTTTGTTAAGACTCTATTGATGAAATAAAAGTTTTCATACTTATAATTCTAAATAGCACAGTAAGAAAAACTAGTAAACCTGTCAAATTAAATAAAAAGGGTTTGATGTTGAAAGAGAATGTATAAAATTATCTGAACCAAAGCTATTAAAATATTAATATTTTGTTCCAATTTAACTTAAATGGGTAAATTAATATGATACATATACATGCATGGTAGTTTTATATATTAATGAAGCCTTTATAAAAAAGGTCAACTTTCTGTCTCTGGTGAATATTACCTATAGCTGAAAACCCTGTGAAGTTCAAGTACAATTCAAATTGTTAAATTTTTCCCCCAACAACTAAGAACTAAAAATTACTGGAACAATTAGAAGTAAATAATAAGGGAACTTATTAAGTCTTCGAGGTAGAGTACATTACTTTCATGGCTTCAGTTCTCCAATAAAAAAGAAAGAAAATGAGTAAAACAATCGCGTAATAGCAAAAAAAAAAAAAAAAAAAATTCAAGCATTTTGCTCATACATGAGAGTAAATAAACAAAATAAAACAAAGCCAAACAAACAAGGAACCCATGCTCACTATTTTTCACAGCTGTTGGTAATGGAGTTTAAACTCTTGCTTAAGCAAGTGAAAAATATCAAAGTAGAAACACACAAACCTACCCTAACGTTAGGACACCCAACCAGTTTGCAAGACATTGGAGGTATCTATGAACCTAAAGCTTTTATTAATCATAGTGAACCCTCTGTTTCATTAACAACAACAAAAACAAAACAAAAAAAAACAAAAAAAAAACTTTTAAAAAATCTTTGTGACTGCAATTCTGAAGCACCTTCTGTAGAGGGAGCAAGAGTCCTTTGGTATATGTGCCATTGAACCTGAAATAACTTTTTCATTTAGATTTCTTCTCGTTGGTTAGAATGGGAAAAATTTTAAGAGCTTTTCTTTGTGCCCTTACAAGAAGACATTGTGAAAAACCTAGAAGTTTTCAAGCTTCAACCATGTATTTGAATCTCTAAAAGTTCAAAGATTAAAGAAAAATCTCTCCCAAGATTTTTCAAAAGTGTATTTTTTACCTGTCTTTGAAGGCTTTTTCGATACTGATTTTTCAATTTTTGTTTGTCTGAGCAACCTCTGAACTCAAATGACAGTTTATAGTGAGATGAAAGCATAGTGACACAGTGACAGAAAGTCCATGGTCACTGGCCAGAGCCCAAGCGAAAAACCTTATGAATAACTACCCCTCCTATGGTGTAACCTTAGAAGAGGTATATTCCAAATGAAGGCTGGTGAGCACATGGACTGCAAAATTGTGATCTGATGGATATTACAGTAGGGATTTAAAACATGACCTTTCCACAAACTATTATAAACATGGACATCAATTTAGCTAACTCAAGGACCAGAATGGGTTCTATTAGCAAATGAAACAATATACATCCTTTCTGTGCCCTAATATACTCTCATTGGTAATGAATCTGTTTTGCCTATGCAATTCAAGCATATCTGATATTAAATAAAAAGGAAAAGACTCCTTGACCAAATGTTCAGCAACAACAGCAATGTTAGAAATCTACTATCTGCCATTTGGGGGTTACTTACAAAGACTTAAGAGCTTCCAAAGAAGCACTGCATATTGAGGCAAGAATTGGCAGTTTATGAGACCACATCTGTTGTGGCTGATTCTAGATTTTCTTTTCAAAGGTAAGGAATTTCATCTGGGTAATTCCCCCCTACTCTTTTGCTCTGCTGCAAATCAACAGATAAAATATTTCTGAAGAAAATGAAAAATAAAGCCCAAATAAGATTTCTGGAATAACAAAGGCTTACTGCTGAAATTCACTAATCAGAGATTATTAGCTTAAATGGATTTTAGTGGATTACATCTAAAAGAGAAAAAAGTCTTCAAGTGGCATTTGTATCTAAATTTTTAAAAATGCTTAGGTATTTCATTTATTACCATTTTAATAAGTTCTGAAAAGAGTCAGATTTTATTTTTCATCTTTGTGTTTTTCGTGCAAACTTCTGATATCAGTATAATATTCTTAGATAAGCTAGTTTATAAGAATATCATTCCAGTGCATTTTACTCAGTATTACATAAATTTTTACATAAAAATAATCTTACCCTGTTCAGAAGGAAGAAAATAAAGTAGTCTCTATAATAAAAAATAGGAAGGTACACTATGGACTTTGGGTGACTATGCATCAAAATAGGTTCATCCATTATAATAAATGTACCACTAAAGAGAAAGATGTTGATGGGGAGGGAGAGGTATGTGTGGGGGCAGGAAGTATATGGGAAATCACTGTACCTTCTCAATTTTGCTGGGAATCTAAAAAACATAAAGTCTCTAATCACTTTAAACTTGTCTAAAAAATAAAGTTTTAATACAACAGAAGGTACAAATAAGATAAAGAAGTTATATATAAAATATCAAAAGAGAAATCTTGATTCATGTAAATAATTACATTATTTGTAATTATACATGGGATTTTTTTCCCTTCACACACTAATTCAAAAGGTATGTTCAATTTTACTTGAAATAAGTGGTAAAATACTTAGTGTGGCAATTTTCATAAGCTATCATGTAAGTTTACTTTTGGCAGTGGAGAAAATAACTAACTTAAGGGACACAGGAACATTTTCAGTCATTGATGTGGCTTCTGAGAAATGTTCGGGATATCAGAAGAATAAAATAGAGCACATTATAATTTGGTTAGTTCCAAGGTAAAGCTGCCAAGGAAACCATCTTACCACTTACACCCATTACTTCATTCCCTTTGTGTTATCATCACACATTCATGGAGTGTTCTGCAGTGTGGCTGTCGTTCTGGAGTTAATACACGGGTAATGAACAAGGTCACATTCTCTCCAGGAGGCACAGCCATCCTCTCCTCAACCTTCACCTCCTGTGAATTTGCTGCGTGTTAGTTATCTGCGCCTCCAGTGAGAAATACACCCATTTTCTGCAAGTGCACACTTGAAACCAACCAAGAATACATTTTGCAATGCTGTTCTTAGTGAATTTTACATTTCGAAACAAACTCAGATACACTCCTCTATAACATTTAATATCCTTGGTGTGAGAGGCGCATCATCGGAGGGGTGACCTGCAGGTTCGACTGGCTTTACTTATGTAACTTTTCTTTCAACTTTAATTTTTTTGATTACGTATCCTTAGTATATGTGCCTTTACTGACATTGTGGTTTCTGTATATTCATCTATGTCTGTCATCTATTTCTGTCCTGAATCGCAAAATGCTTAAGGGTATGTGTCGGGGGGGGGGGAGGCACTGCCAGTTTTTAGACAAAAATGAGTGGTTATCAGAGAAATATATGACTGAGCTGTGAAAGGAAAGAGAACAGTCATTTTTAGGATTCTTTCATAATCTAGAAAAGCATTTTAAAACATTATTTCGCTTGCTTTCTACATGTAAGAATCTTTATTTAGAAACTTCTGAAGGCAAGGTTTTAAAAAAATATCTTTTATTAAAACCAAGTCTTCAGAGTGTGCTATATATATTAGTCCATATTTCTTGTATTAACTATCACAGTCCTAACAGGGAAAAATACTAATCTCGGAGAAATCCTGAGATTTGGTAACACAAAATGGTCCTGAGAAGTGGTAACACAAAATAAAGCTGTATCTGAAATGGCTACATGTATGCCACAAATAAGTAATTTACCCAATATATCAAGGTGAGTTTTATAATACATACTGATTCTGAGCGTTCTTTCATGACATCAAGAAAAGTCGCTGTGGTATGTTATTACGTTTAACATAAGCTTTATTTTTTATTTTTTCCTTATTTTTATTTATTTTTTTTATTTTTATTTTATTTATTTATTTTTACAAATAGTTTATTGTCAAATTGGTTGCCACATAAAACTCAGTGCTCATCCCCACAAGTGCCCTCCTCCATGCCCATCCCTCCTCCCTCCCACATCCATCAGTCCTCAGTTTTTGTCAGCATTCAAGTGTCTCTCATGGTTTGCCTCTCTCCCTTTCCCCCACCATTTCCCCCCTTTTCTCCCCCTTGTTCCTCCGTCAAGTTCCTCCTAATCCTCCTATACGTGCAAACATATGATATTTGTCCTTCTCTGCCTGACTTATTTTGCTCAGCATAACACCCTCAAGGTCCATCCATGTTGCTACACATGGCCAGATTTCATTGTTTCTCATTGCCATAACATAAGCTTTAATTATAAGCATTTCACTGACTTGTTTTTAAATTGGAGAAACAGATTTTAAGTTACATTTTTAAGTTAACTTATTCAGAACCAATACACATTTCTAGAATTTGTAGGGGTCTGCTTTAAAAATCAGGAAGACAGGTACTGAGGAAAGATACTTTTCTTGAGAATCCAATTTTCCAATATATGTTGGGACATTAAAGACTTCACGATGATATTTAGAATGGCATTATTTGTTATTTGTAATTGCCAAAAACTGGAATCAAATCAAATGTCCCTCAGTGGAGGGCTGGATAAGCAAGCTGCAGCATGTGTTCTAATGGAATATGTCCTCTGCAGCAATAAAAGGAACCAACTATTGATACACTTGACAACACAGATGGACCTCAAATGCACTATAGTAAGTAGGAAGAAGTCAGACTCAAAGGGCTACGTACTGCATGATTCTACTTATATGACCTTCTGGAAAAGAAACTGTATGGACATAAACTAGACTGGTAATTTCCAGGGGCATGGCCTGAGGGGGGAAGCTGACACAGGCACGGGGGAATTTTTTGGAGTGATGGAACTATTCTAGAATTTGATTGTAGTGGTGATTACCTGACCATGCACTAGTCAGAAC